ACAGATATGGACTGGTAGACTGAGCTCCTTACATGGATAAAACCACAGGTCTGGATAAAAATGACAACAGTCTTGCATTACCTCCTTCACCGGACTATTACCTTACATTCCCACCCCTGGTACTAGGTGTAGGACAACCAGCAACACCAAATACTGAGCCTTACATCAAGGGATCAAAACCCACTCTGGTACTGTCAGACCCAAAGGCTTCTCCAAAGTTTCCTGGAGAATACCTACCTGGTCCTCTTACAGAGAAAATACTTTCAACCACTAACCACTCTGTAATCAGAAGTGGAAGGCAGCAGGGGACCCTATACCAAGGCTACCCTGAATCCCTCTACATTGCCCAATTCCTTTTGAGAAGCTGGAGAGTATTCTTGAGCATCAAAAGGGAGGCAACCAGGATGGTGAAGGGCCTCCAGTTCATGTCCATATGAAGATTAGTTGAAGAAACTGGAGATGTTTGGTACGGAGAAAAGAAGAATTGAGGAAGTCAGTGGACATGAAAGCTGTCTTCAAGCATTAGAAGGGCTTCCATGTGGAAGGATTAGACTTCTTCTGCTTGGCCCCAAAGGGCAGAGCTAGAAGAAATGGGCCAACTGGTTCAATGTAAGGAAAAGTATCCTCATTAGAATCTCTCTAAAATCAGATGGGCTTCTCCCAGAGGCAGTGGGAGGCTTTTAATCAAATGTTGGATGACCACATATCAGGAATGCTATAGAAAGAAGGCCTGATGAGGTATTTGTTGGACTAGGTGATCAGTGACATCCCTTTAAAGTCTGGAGTTCTGGGATTGTGTGAACAATTCAATTGAGCAAATGTGTGTTGAGTACTAACTCTATGTGGGATGTGGTGCTAACACAAAGGATATAAACACAAAAAGCAAAGAACCCCCAATTGGGAATCAAGAGACTTTGTGTCCTCATTTTAACTTCGATAGTAATTCACTACTTAACATCTGGACCTTCTTCACCTATGAAATGGGGTTAATAGCTACACACCTGGGATGTCAGGAAAGTCATATACTAACAACTCAAATTTATATATCAATTCAATTTAAGAAGCTTTTATCAATGGCCCACCATGTGTAAGGCATAGAGCTGGGTGCTAGGGAGACAACAAAGGAAAACAATTCCTGCCTTAAGGAGATTACATTTCACTGAAAGGATAGAATGTGTACAAAGATAAGTAAAAATAAGATAATCTGAAGAAGGAAACTAAGAGAGGAGATGGCTATGGGACAATCAGGAAAGCTTTTGCATTGAAGGTAACACCTGACCTGAGACTTTCAAAGCAGCTAGATGTTGCAGTGGATAAAGGCATTGGTCCTGGAGTCAGGAAGATCTGAGCTCACATCTAGTCCAGATATCTACCACCTGTGTGACCTTGAGCAAGTCACTTAACATTGATCTGACTCACTTTCCTCAACTATAAAATGGGGATAATCATAGCACAATAATAGCTAATTGTGAGGATAAAATGAGATGATATTTATAAAGCACTTAGCAAAGTAGCTGGCATGTGGTAGGCATTTAATAAATGTTTGTTCTCTTTTTTTTCCCCTTGAAGGAAGGTAGACTTGAGGTAAAAGGAAGATAGATTTTCTTGGAGGGGGGAGCTCCAAGTGCTCGGCTAAGGAGTTTTCATTTTATCCCAAAGAAAATAGGAAGCCACCGCATATTTCCGCAAAGCCCCCCAAATAAACTTTTACAAATCTCAGTAAGGCAGGTCCCCAGTCAGTCAAAGCAGAAGGCCCTCTTTTTTTCCTCCCACATCTATCCATCAGGCCAGTGATAAGCAGTGTTAGGCAGCCAAGACAAAGAGAATCTGATAAATCAGATAGCAGGTTAAGTGGGGCTGAGATCTCTGTGCACTGGGAAATTAGAGGCTCACTTACAAAGGTCATCAGTTAGCAGAGGCACGGAGCTAGACCTGTTACACTGCAGCCATCATAATGAAAGGCAGTAAGAATCATGGTCCCCAGCACTTCCACCCATCACCAACCCTCCCCACAATCCCCCAGATTTGTGGAGCAGAATCACACAGCCAGGCTAATGAAGGCTCCAAGAAATGTCTCCCTATCCTGAGATCCAAGTCTCTGCCACCTGGGTGAGGATTTGTAGCTGTCAATCAGGCATGTCTACGGCACAGCTGCGGAGCTGATTAATTCAGCTGTGAATCTGGCTGGTTTCTAGGCAAGTGGAAGAACTTATCTGTGGATTTGGTATGAAAAGTGGGTCAGAGGACCGACCTAAAATTGACTCCCCCTATGCTACACATGCTAGGCCTGCTAGCCCAGCTCCATGTCCCACAAACCAGCATAAGTAATACTTGGGGATGGCTGCCTAAGGATACGGGGAGAGGGACAAAGGAGGCCCCAGGGCAGGGCAACAAGATGCACAAATGACTTATTCCTTACAAGAAAGGAATCTGGGAAAACAGGCTGAGCTGCTTGACCCTCAAATTCCACCGTCCCTCCCTTCAAAGAGCCACTAACTTTTTTTCCTTTCACAAAAAAAACGACAAAGCCTATAGGTTCTCCTTTATCACAGTGGAGTGCAGTGGCCAATGGAAAAGGGGGAGAGGACGTAGAGAATTCCTCATGAGGTTGAAAAATCACTCCTCAGAAGCATGGAATATATGCCTGTGCATGTATTGGAGAGGAAAGGAGGGGAGGGGAAGGGAGGGGAGGGGCAGCTTGTCCCAGCCATCCAAAAATGAGGTGTTTGCCTTTTAAGACAATTCCAGAAATGGTCCCAGAGGCACGTAACACAGATACAGGACAAGAGGGGTCAAGCCAGATGGTTCCAGAGACTCCCCACCCACCCATTTCCACCACCTCCATCTGCCTTAACTGACCTATCAAGAGAAACACTTAGAAAAACATTCTCTGCAGGAACACTAAAACTCCCAAAGTCAAACCACAGTGACAGCTTTGTAATGATCCTTCAAGACCCAGATCACATCCCACCTCATCCTTGAAATCTTCATCAGTATTCAATGAGAGCATGTAAAGGGCAGCATAATATGGTTCAAAGAGTGGGGCCAGGAGAGAAAGAACGAGCACAGTTCTGAGCTTACAAGGACCTGGGTTCAAATTTGGCCTTGGTATTTTCTCCCTGTGTGACCTTAGAGAAACATCAGACAATAATGGCTATAGGACTGCCCTTGGAGTCAGAAGGACCTGGATTCAGATTCTGCCACAGACACTATGAGTCATGGTGACCCTGGACAAGTCACTTAACCTCTCTATGACTCAATTTTCTCATCTGCAAAATGTGGGGCAAGGAGGGGGATGAGGAGTTGAATTCACTGGCCTCTTAGGACCTTTCCAACTCTGAATCTAGGATTCTTTGACTTTGTGCAAGTTAATTAACCTCCTTGGGTCTCAATGTCTTCATTAGTAAAATGAGGGGGTTGGGCTAAATGACCCCTGAGGTTCCTTCCATCTCTAGTTCTAAATCTATATAGAAGTGCTTTGAAAATTGTAAAGTACTTCCTAATTTCTGCTTGTCCTGGCTGCTGAGACCTGTTGACTGTGACTTGCCTCTTTGGAAGGCATTTGATTTTCCCTAACCACTGAGAGCTACAGCCTCCCTGCCCTCCATCCTGACTGACAGCATGGATTCTAGACCCCAGGAACTGCCCTTACCATAGAGTCCTTAACCATATTGCTTATTGACCAAGCACAACAAAGGGGGAAAAGCAGAAGATTTGGTTTCCACAACTACCATAATATGGAGTTATTTATTAAGAAGGGAGGAGCATAAGAAAGGGAGAGAAATATGTAAATGAGTATCCCATAAAAGAGATCAACCTGTCTTCTGCATTTTTTCATAAATTAGTTTTGATATCTTCTCATCATAAATATTTACTTTCTAAAAGGAGCATCATGCATAATGGAATATCTAACCTAATGGTCGGTTATTAATGCAGATGATATTTCTGGAGTTATTGACTGCTGAATGATATTTCTATGTCTAGACATCAGTTTAATTCCCCTGGCATCATTCCACAGCTGAAGCCTAGCCTCTGATTGGATTACAAATATTAAAGGATTTTTATTCATCATATCTAACCATTTCAACTTTTCTCAGGCTTCCTAGGTATTCATACTGGGTGGCTGAAAAGAGGCAAAGGGGAAGATTTGGGAGCTCTTGAGTGCTTGGCCAGGAAGCTATATAATGTAGCAGAAAACAAGGCTGAGAAGCAAGTTACTGGTAGTGGTTACTGGTATTCAAGACTTTCCACTATAGCTAGCTGTGTGACTTTGGTCAAGTTACTTCCCCAAAATCTGTAAAATGAGGGGATTGAATGAGAGGGTCTCTAAGGTCCCTTCTTGCCCTAAGATTCTGAGCCTATGGAAATCCTTTTTGTCCTCGTCATTCACTGTATAGTTCAGACATAGCCCATGACATAACTCTTTTATGGGAGGAAGTGAAGGTAATAAGCATTTATATAGTACCTACTATGTGCTGGACAATGGGCTAAATGCTTTACAAATATTATCTCATCCGATGAACACAATCTGATTTTCCAGAAAACTTGATCAGGAGATGACTAAACAGTCTATGAGTTACTGAGCTGTTTGTCAGTCACCAGTTTATCCACTAGGAATTTCCATATGGAATGAAATTTATTCAATGTTACCAGTGCCCCTTTATCTTGAGAAAGGAAAGAAGCCAGCGATGAATATCTTAATAATAATCAAGTGTATCCATATATCACTTTGTAATTTTCAAAAAGCTTTCATATATATGATCTCATTTGATACAATAATAAGGAAGAAAAAACATTATTCCCATTTAATTGATGAGAAAACTGAGGCCCAGTGAGTTGGAGGTAGAAACAAGGTCTCCTGACAAGCTTTTCATCAAACCATATTTGCTAACAACTTGTCATTTTCTTATGACATAAGATTGATGAGAGCAAATAATAACTTTTAATGTTTCCAAAGGGTGAAGATACTATAGGGACAGAAAAGTCCCAAAGCAACTCACCTTTCTTTGAATTCTAGAAAGACTTTGGCCAGGGTGCTCCCACCAGCCATCATCGATACATCAATGGCCCTTAGGAAGCTGTTGTGCACTTTAATTAAGTCCTGCAATGAAGGAACAGGCAGTATGTTACCATCCAGACACCATTCAGGAAAGCTTCACAATTCCTGTAAACAATCTTCTGGTTCCTTTTTGTTCCCATTAAATGTTGTAATATAAGAGACTCCAGCGAGATGTACCCCTGAATCACCATGAATACTAGTGTGTAATTAAGTTAGAAGGTTATACAATGATAAATGTACATAGGAGTTTTGAACATATTAAAGTCCCTTTACTAAACCTAATGGGAGCCGTCCAACAGCATACATTAGCCTGTCATAACACACAGTAGTGAGCCCTGAGCAGCCCTGGGCACTGAAAGTGAACAAGGATGGAATATCACAAACTGTTGCTGGCCAGTCTCTTGGGCCACTTCCTCCCTAAGCCATTATTGAAAGAAAGAAAAATTCAAAAAGCCAGTTCAGCTCCTATTCCCCACTAGGAATTCTTTTAACTCCATCATGGGGGAGGCCGTATTGGGTAGAGGTGGAAGATCAGGAGAGATTAGCTTTAGAAATATTATCTGACTTTACAAAATGGATGTATTACTCAACTTGGTTGTCAAGTTGAGTTTGGTATCTTGTCTCTGAGCTTAACATCCATCTATACTTGATAAATTTCCTCTATGAAGTCTGAAGCCTTCCCACACATCCCTTGTAAACCTGCCTACATTGAAAAGTTTGATTCAACTGAACAAGCACTTATTAAATGCCTACTGTGTGCAGTGCACTAAGTTAGGCACTGGGGATACAAAGACAAAAGGCCTCAAGGTGATCTTGCCCTCCATCAAATTCCTCATAGTACCTTGTTGGGACTTTTCTTTTGCATTCATCATACTCTCCTTGAATCACAGTTATTTATTATTATATTATTTATATATAATTTTTATTATAGTTTTTTATATTATACATGCAATTATCATGTATTGTATATGTACTTATTATGCATAATAATATTAGTTATATATTATATTATAATTATATTATATTATACTCCACCACCACTTACAAAGCAAACTCTTTGAGAGTAGGACCTGAGTCTAATTTACCTTTATATCCTCCAACATTTAACATTGTGCCTTGCGCATGGGATAGGGATTGGGGACTGGACCTATGATGTCATTGATACCAGGAATCCTGGATAAGGAAACACTTTCTACCAATGCAGGTTGGCACCTCCTCTGCAATTTATCATCTCAGAGAATTGCCTAAAGTTCCCTGAGGCACTGTGAGGTTAAACAACTTGTCCAGGGTCATGAAGTCATTGTGTCAGAGGAGAGACTTGAACCCAGGTCTTCCTAACTCCTAGGCTAGCTCTCTATCAAGTATGTTCTGCTGTCAGTCAGTTAACTAGCATTGATTAAGCACTCACTGTGCTAAGTGCTAGGGATACAAAAAAAAAAGGGGGGGGGAAGATAGTTCCTGGGGCAGCTAGGTGGCACAGTGGATAGAGCACCAGCCCTGGAGTCAGGAGGACCTGAGTTCAAATCTGGTCTCAGACACTTACTAGCTGTGTGACCCTGGGCAAGTCACTTAACCCCAATTGTCTTTTTAAAAAAATAGTTCCTGCCCTCTAAGAGCTCACAGTCTAATGAGCAGAACAACATGCAAACAATTACGTACAAACAAAATACAGACAGGATAAATTGGAGATAATCAACAGGGGGATTGATTGAGAAAAGTTTGTCTCAGAAGGCAGGATGTTAGCTGAGACTTAAAGGACGCCAGGAGGTGAAAACAAAGAAAGAGTGTTTCGGGCATGGAAAACAGCCAGTGAAAATGTTTGGAGTTAGACCTAACTTTGCTCTCTATCTCTTGTTTATTCACAAAGTGTTCACCTATCCATAAGTCTAACGGAGTTAGGAGATGGAGTGCCATGTTTGAGGAACAAGAGGAGGGCCAGTGTCACTGGATTCAAGGGTATGTGTGGTGCAGGGGACACCAGACTGGAAATACGCCTTACTATATTTATATTGTCGCCCCTTCCAACCCCCATTTCAATGCAGGCCAGAGCAGTAGACTAACGCAAAGCAAGTATAAGCTGGACTGCTGGACAGTTGGTTGTGAAGTCCGTGCCAGTTTCCTATAAGGCTCCCACTATGTGTTTTGGTCACCTGCTCCCTGGCAGAACTCAACAGGCACAATCTCCCACCATCCTGACCTCAGTGAGTATGCGGGTCCTGGTGACCAGGCTCTAACTTGTAAAGATAAAGCCCAGATGTTCCTTGGCTCCTTGTGCCAGTGAGAACAAGGGAGGCCAGAGCAGGAGATGCTCTCGATGTGTCAGCTGTTCACATTTCCTGGCTACTGTAGCAAGTGCTGACTAGCTGGGCTGCAAAGCTGGCACATGGTCTCTGAGAAACTCCACCGATGTGTGTATTCTGAGACATTGTGCCCTACAGTAATTATGTTTGTGTGAAGCTCCACATGTGCACACCTGTAAACCATTTCCTCCAAATGTGCAGGGAAATGCCTGTCTCCAGCTATTGAGAAAGCTCCTGTTGGTCATGGCAGGTCTTTATATTTCTTAATATTCTCACAGCTCCTCTCTTCCAAAGAACTCAAAGGACTTTCATGGTTTTTTCCCCCTTCCAATACTGCTTTTTTTTTTTTTTGTGAGGCAATTGGGGTTAAATGACTTGCCCAGAGTCAAAAAGCTAGCGAGTGTTATGTATCTGAGGCCGAATTTGAACTCAGGTCTTCCTGACTCCAGGGCTAGTGTTCTATCCACTGTGCCTCCTAGCTGCCCCTCCAATACTACTTTTCCAAAAGCAAAAGCTATGATTTCTTTAGTGTCAAGAGCTCCAGCTAAGGAACTTACTTTACCAATATAGGTTGGCACTTTTGTTGCCTATACCCAAAAGTTACGTGACTTGCCAAGGGTCATAAAGCCAATGTCCAAGGCAAGATTTGAACCCAGGTCTTCCTGACTAAGAGGCTAACTTTCTTTCTTTCTTTCTTTTTTATTTTTTTTAAAGGCAATTGGGGTTAAGTGACTTTCCCAGGGTCACACAGCTATTAAGTGTTAAGTGTTTGGTCTGAGGCTGGATTTGGACTCAGGTCCTTCTGACTTCAGGGCCGGTGCTCTATCCACTGCACCACTAGCTGCCCCGAGGCTAACTTTCTATACCTTAAAAGATGCTTTGCACATCCTCACATAAGTCCTGGGTGATATAGGAAGGATTAGGTCTCCTTGGCAGACATGGGTTGACTATATCTAACTGTCTTTGAAAAAAAGTTGTTGGGGCAGCTAGGTGGCAGGGTGGATAGAACTCCAGCCTTGGAGTCAGGAGGACCTGAGTTCAAATCTGGCCTTTGACACTAGCTGTGTGTGACCTTGGGCAAGTCACTTAACCCCGATTGCCTCTAAAAACAAAGCTGTTGTTAGAGAGACAGAAGCAGTGAATCTGTAGCAGCAAAACCCAGTGGTCACTATGAAATCACCTTTGGGATTATAATGCCAAGTATCCTGATGTAGGCTTTAATGTGCCAGGAGCACCAGGCACTAGTAACGTTCCAGGTCAGTTTCATCAGGTGAGAGCCAATGGGCCCATAAGGTCAAAGGGTTGGAAAGAGGAAGTGCATCCCCTTTGAGGCTCTTACCTCCAGGTTGATAAAGATGGCGGTCATGTCCAGAGGGCTCAGCACCAGCTTCAAAGGATTCATGTAGTTCTGAAAGAGAGAGAAAACCATAGAGCATGGGTAAGTGAATGCCATCTTAAAAGGAGAAAGGAGGCAAGGAAGAAAGATGAGGAGAATTGGCGCTCAAGGTCAGTTTGCATGTGAGACTCAATTTAATTCAGTTCAATGAACAATGTTAAAGGCCCTCAGCCAGACCCCTACTGACAGTCAAATTCCTTGAAGGCAGGTATTATGTTTTTCTGCAATACATGCCATCAATCTCTCAATAAACAAGTATTATGAAGAGCCTACTATATGCCAGGCACTGTGGATCCAAGTACAAAGAATGAGGGAAAAAATGCCCAAATAACTATACTCCACATGTAAGTATGGGAATGTAATAATAAAAGATACCAATACTTTTTAAAATTCAAAAATATATGTTATATATGTAATATCTTAGAAAAACATGGCTAGACTTGCATAAAATAATGAACAGTGAAATAAGCAGAACCAAGAGAATGTGGTATACAGTAACAGCAATATTGTTTTAAAAACAACTTTGAGTGAATAAGTCATTTTGACTATTATAAATACCCAAATTAACTACAAAGGACATGTGAAGGAAGACACTCTCTGCATCCATATAAAGAATTGATAAATAGAAGTATGTATAGAATGATTTTACATATACATACACACATACATATATATACATACACACATACATATACATATTTGTGTTTAATGGTAGCCATCTCTAGGGTGGGAGGAAGGGAAAGAAAAAGGAAAAAAATGCATGATAATTACTATATGTTTGAAGGGAATAGCAATTTGTATGTATAGGTTTGCATTTTCATGCGCAATCATCTTTTGTTTTATTATACTACATTATGGAAATACTTGTTTTATTCCATAAATTAAAAATAAATTAAGTAAAAAACTTTTTTTAAAGTTTGTGATAGGAACAAAGGACAAATACAAAGTGCTCTAGGACAATCTGGGAAGGGAGAGCTGGTTTTTAGGTTGTAGGAGAAGGTAACACTTAAACTGAAGCTCCACAAGTATCTTTCAAAGGGCCAAGATGAGAAAGCTGGATATTCCAGGAGCAGAGACAGGTCTCACTCCTCTGGCTTCCTGTGGCACTCCTTGTCTGTTCCTTTTTGAGTATGGGATTTAGGACTGGAAAGAACTTTAGAGATCATCTACTAAATCCTCTCTTCTGACCCCCAGTTTCACGTTTCCAAGTGTCTCTAACACCTTGACTGGATGTCCCATAAAAATTTTAAACTCAACACCGAATGAATCCATTACTTCCCTTCCCCTTCCCCCCAAGCCCCTCCTTTCTTCACAACATCCCTATTGCAGCTGAGGGCACTACCATCTTCCCAATCATCCAGGATCATAATAGACCAGAGGTCCTTACTCCCTCCCAATCCCTACATGCAACCGATAACCACTTCCTGTTGATTCTACCTCTGTAATATCTTTCATACATGCCACCTTCTCCTCTCTTCTGACACTGCAACCACCTGATCACCCACCTGGTACAGGCACTTATCACTTCAGAAAGTTATCTTCCTATAAAGCACAGGTCTGATCCTGTCTCCCACCTCCACAACCCCCGACTCAATCAACTTCGATGGCACCCTGTTACTTTTAGGATTGAGTATAAAGTCCTCCGTTTGACTCTTAAAAGTCCTTCACAACCTGGCTCTTTCCTACCTTTTCCAGTCTTATTATACCTTACTCTTCCCCACATACTATGCAATCCAATGACACTGGCTATCTATTCCTCACGTAAGACCCCCCCCCATCTCCTGATTCAAGTATTTTCACTGAATGACTCCTATGCCTAGAATGCTCTGCCTCCTGGCTTCTTTCAAGCTCCAGCTAAAATTCCCCATTCTGCAAGGAGCCCTTCTCAATATCTTTTAATATTAGTATCTTCCTTCTGAGATTTTCTCTTACTATATATCTTGTTTGTACAGTTTTTTGCATGTTGTATTCCCACCCACCCACCCCTTCTGAGGCCAGGGACTGATTTTGTTGTTGTTGGGTTTTTTTAAGCCTTTCTTGTCTCTCTAGCACTTAACACAGTGCCTAGCACACAATAGGTGTTTAACAAATGCTTGCTGACTTGACACTGTCTTATTTGAACCTTCTAGCAACTCTGAGACCTATGGTGGGAGTAACAGTTGACATTTATAAACTATCTATCCGTTTACTAAGCACTCTCTGGACATTATCTCATATCATCCTTATAGTAGACCTGGGAGGTAGGCAGGCATAAGGAGAATGCATTGCCTGGATCTCTCTTTTTATTTTATGTTATATGTAAGAAGAGGCAAAGTAGTATAGTGGATGGAGAACTGGCCTGGGATCCAGGAAGAACAGGCTTCAATTCTAGCCTCTAGTTGTACAATCCTAGGAAAGTAACCTAACCTTTCTTTCAGTATTGTAGGCCTTAGGTATCAAACTCCATCAGAAACAGATGTCCAAGGGCTTCACAGTCACTTAGAAAACCTCAAATTAATATCATGTATGTTCCATTGCATTTTTATTTATTTTGTTAAATATTTCCCAATTACATTTTAATCTGATCCAGGCTCTAGTAAAGAGTTTTGTGGGCCCTTAGCAGGCTCCCTAACTAGGAGTTTGACCCCTCTGCTCCAGGAAACTCTTTATTTTTTTTTCCAGGAAACTCTTTAAGACTAAGAGTTGCAAAGAAGGTATCCATTTGCATTGATGAAAGGCACTTCCTCACCTAAGAGGAATTCCCTCCACCAAAGAAATCACAGGTCCCTACCCCTATTTGAATAGTAATAATGATAACAACAACAACAACAGCAACGTTTGCATATCATACTTAGTTTTATTCATTTATTCATTCATGCATCCATTCATTCAATTATTTATTTATTTATTTATTTATTGTTAGGCAATTGTGGTTAAGTGACTTGCCCAGGGTCACACAGCTAGTAAGTGTCAAGTGTTTGGCCTGAGGCCGGATTTGAACTCAGGTCCTCCTGACTTCACCTAGCTGCCCCCCAAATTTTTATTTATTTATTTATTTATTTTTTAGTATCACATTTAGTTTTACAAATCACTTTACAATATCTCATTTGATCTTCACAACAACCCAGTGAAGTGGGTATTGTTACTATTCCCATTTACAGATGAGGAAACTGAGACAGGCAGAGGTTAAGTGACTTCTTCAGGTTCACGAAGCTGTTAAGTGTCTGAGACTAGATTTGAAAACTCTTTCTGGTCTTCTTGATTCCAGGTCTAGAGCTCTATCTACTATAGCACCTAACTTTTGTACCCAGGCCCACACTGAAACATCAGTGCCTCAAAGAATGAGACTATGTGATTTTTCTTTGTATCTCCATCACTTAACTGTGCTTTGCACACAGTAGAAGCTTAATAAGCACCAAACTGAAGTATCATTGTTCCCATTTAATAAACAAGGAAACTGAGGCCCAGAGAGGGAAAGTAACTCCTTCAAGGTAAAGCCAAAACCAAATACCAGGTCCCCTGACTCCAAATCTAGTCCTCTATTCCACGCTTTCTTGTTTTTCTTTTTTCCTAGCTCAAAAGTTTTCCCTGCCTCCATCTCTTATCTCTCCTGAGCTACTTTTTCACAATTGTCAGAGTAAGCTTTGTAACGCACAGTTCTGACCATGGCACTTCCCTGCTCTAAGAAAAAAAAAAAATCCCTGTCTCTGGATTCAATGTGACATTCAAAATCTGTAAACCAATGAAAGAGAGACCGGCAGTACTAGAATAAGGAAGCATTGTCAGGAAACAGCTCATAGGCAGGACCATCCCAAGATCACACCAAGGCAAGGTCTGAAAATCCCTCATAATCTATCCTAAAGCAGTTGTCATATTCCTGCTCTGATCTGAGACTCAGGCTATAATTGACTTCCAAAAATCAACACAGAGCAGGCAATGAAGCATCCTAAATCAAACAGACCCAGCATGCTTGTTTTCCTCCCCACCCCAGATGAGCAAGGTAAATGTTTGGAAAAGGAAGCATTGGATGACCAATCAGTGGAGTCACTGTGGGGTTTGAATGCAGGGGCAGAATTGCAGGAAGGCAAAGATGGGAAGGAAGGCAGGAAAATAGTGCCTGGATGACATCACTGGCTGCTGAAAGAAAGGCTTCCCTTCACAAGCCAGTACAATCAGCATTCATTGACCCCAATTTCCAAGCCAGTAATGCAGGCAGTGAAATACTACTTTAATCCAATTAGTTTCTATGACCAGTTTGCCTACTCTACCACATTTAACCCCCCCCCACACAAAACCAAAAACTATCCAGTAACTAGAAGTTGGACCTTGATAAATGTGCAAGATACCACCTGGTTTTCTGTTTCTTGGACATATGGCTTGTTAGATGTAGCAAATTCACATGCCTCCTCTGAATAGTCAATGCTCTTTTATTCTGACAAAGCTGCACATGAATACCGGGCTTCCTAGACTTCCAATACCTTCTCAGCCTTGAACCCACTTTAAGTCCTGTCTCCTCCAACATGCCTTCCCCTGCTCTGACCTCCTCTGGCACATGAAATCAGACCAAACCATACCATCTGGTACCCAACTACACAGTATAGCATAGGCTGCTGTTGGATGTATGTAAATATTTCTTCCCCAACCAAGTTATAAGCTCCTTGGATCCAGAGTCCACATTTTGGGATGCCATTCTTAGGAATGGCACAGGGAGAGCCACTTCAGTCAATCACCCAACAAGCATTTATTAACGCCTACTATGTGCCAAGAATTGTGCTAAGTGATTGGGATACAAAAACAAAAATGAAATAGTCCCTGCCCTCAGGGAGCTTACATTCTACCTGAGGGAAAAAAACATACAAACAAACAAACACGTAAACAACTAAGTATATACAAAGGATATATAAAGTAGGGTTGGGAGAAGGAGGAGCATGTAAGTTGATAACAAAGGATATACAAAGTAGGGTTTCAGGAGTAGACACAAAAGATATACGAAGTATTGTCTTAGTAAGCATTTGCTGATAAAACTTTTTCAAGATATTCTGGAAATACATCTTTTAACTAGAGGGACTGCTTAGGCCTTCAGGGTAGCAGTCCAAGATTTGTAAATTCAGGGATAGTGGGTGTTGGGTGATTTAGGTTTAAATCCCAGCTGTGGGATTGTGGCTCTGAGAACTGGATTGCTATAATGGAAACAATGATGGGGAGTCAGGAGAGATGGGTTTGAATCACCTTTGAAATACTTTTTAACTGTCTGACCCTGGACAAGTCACTTCACTTTTTCTGTGTCTCAGTTTCCTCATCCATAAAGTGGGAATAAGAACACTTGTACTTCTTATATAGTGTGGGAAGAAAAAGGTCTTCAGAAATCTCAAACTCAACATGTCCAAAACAGAGCCCATCATCTTACCTTCCCTCCCAACCCATCCTTCAACTGACCTTTCCCCTTTCTGTCTAGGAGTACTGCCATTCTTCCAGGCTCCCAGGTTCATAACTTCAGTAATATCTTTGATCGGATCTCTCCCTCACCCCACATAAATCTTCTTTCTACCCCCAAGTATCTCAGATCCAACACCTCTCCATTCAATCACCTTACTTCAGGCCCTTTTCATCATTTACTTCAACTCTTATTGTTCTCCCTGCCTTAGGAGTCTCTCATTCCAATTCATCTCCACACAACTACTAAAATGATTCCCCTCCCCTCAAGTACAGATCTGACCACATCACTGTGTAAACTCCGGCGGCTTCCTACTGCCCCAAGAATAACGTGTACACTCCTGTTTGGTTTCTGAAGCTCTGTACAATATGGTCCTTGCTAACTTTAAGGTGAGCAAAGCATCTTCTTAGCTATAATACTATGAGATAGGTAGTGTCAATATTATCCCTGTTTTTATAGATGGCAAAACTCAGGCTCAGTCAGATTAAAGCGATTTGTCTGGGGTCACACATAGTCAGTGCCAGAGATGGAACTTGACCACTGCCCCCAACCCCATATCCCTTCTCATTCCAACAATGGCATCAATTTGTAGAAATTTAAAACATAGGTTACAGCCTCTAGGGAACCTTTTGGTTTCTTCTCTTGGTACCATCTCAATGGACCTTTAAAAACATGGCAGAAAAATGACTCTCACCTTTTCAATGTCTTCAAGAGTCCTGTAGTATTTGGCTTCTGTTTCCTGAATTTCTAGCAAGCAGCAATTTCTTTTGTCATCTTCTGTCATTCCCATTTTCTAGAAAGAAAACATTTCTTTGGTCATTGAGGTTTCTAATCCTCCTTGGCCCACAGGCTGGGTCTCCCCACACCTGGTTTGCTGGAGCATCTAGACTGAGGCCATGTCCTTTTAAATTAGCATTGACAGAGTAACTGGGATGGTGACACATACTCACATTTATTATGGAGGTAGACTGATTCTAGTTTTGTCTCCCCCCGCTCAATTTCCATTCATGTCAACTGCCAGGACTCAGAAATCAAATTATCTCTACTTATTATTTTTAGCCCTCAGAAACTATTAAACCCCATTATACTTAGTCCAATAATAATGATGATGATGTTAGCTGACATTTATATAGCACTTTGAGGCCTGCAAAATGCTTTACATACATGATCACATCTGAGCTGTAATCTATTGGGTGCTGTTAATTACACAGACTGTTAGTTCTTTGAGGGCAGGGACTGGGGCTTCTTAATTGAGAGACAATTCACAGAACATGACTTATAGCCCATGGAATCATAGAATTTAACACTGGAAGAGACTTTAGAGACCATTTAATCCAATCATCTCGTTTTACTGAGGAAGAACCCAGGGATACAGAAACGGGAAATGATTTTAATTTTAGCCCATGGTCATACAGGGAGCAAGAAGCAGAGTCAGAATTTGAACACAGATCCTGACTCCAACCCAGAGTTTTTCTACTACACCATACATCAAGGTGACTTCTAGCTATAGGATAAGAATAAAACTTTCTCTAAAGAGCTTCTAGCTACCTGCTAAAAGGGGTTTAAAAATAAAATAGCTCATTAGTGAGGTGTTGGCTAAACCCTGAACATTTTTCTTTTTATTGCATCTTTGTTTAGCATCACCCTCATTTTTATGTACCCTGCCATTGTCTCCCCTACTCCAGAGCCTTCTCATAAAAGGGGTGGAAGGGGGGAGGGGGGAACAATTCAGCAAAAGTAATCTACATATCAACTGAGTCTAACAGTATTTCGCACCCATAGTTCTCCACCTCTTCAAAGCAGGGGAGAGACACACATTTCTTATCTCTTCCAATCTGGACCATATTCAACATATGAGATGCCTAATTTGGTAAGCGAGAAATGCTAAGGATGAGGTCTTCTAGACCAGAAGTGTCAAACATGCAGACTGAAAGTGAACCAGACTAAAATGTAATTGGGAAATATTTAATGAAATAAAATTTAAAAACAATTAAACATAGGTAATGGTAATGTATGGTTTACTAAGTCAATATGTGGGCCAGTTTAGAGGCCTCTGTTTCTACCTGAGTTTGACATCCCTATTCTAATGGTTTCTAGAGTGCCTTCCTCCTAACAACTCTGTAAGGTGGGAGACCTAAGCATCCTTAGCACCATTTTACAGAAAAGTAAGTTGAGGCTCTTAAAAATGAAGAGGTTCACCTATGATCTCTCAGCTAGTAAATATCCAAGTTGGAATTTGTTTTTGTTTTTTTTTAATTTTTAGGCAATTGGGGTTAAGTGACTTGCCCAGGGTCACACAGCTAGTAAGTGTC